TGGTGAGTTCGTGGTGATGCCCGTCAGGCTCACCAATGCTCCTGCTGCATTCATGGATCTCATGAGCCACGTATGCAGACTGATGTTGGATCGGTCTGTGATAGATTTTATTGATGATATCCTGGTGTACTCTAAGACGCAGGAGCAGCATGAGGAGCATCTGCGAGAGGTTTTAGATACTGTGAGGAGAGAGAGAGAGTGTATGCCAAGTTCTCTAAGTGTGAGTTCTGGTTGCGCGAGGTGTAGTTTCTTGGGCACCTTTTATACCAAAATGGTATTTTGGTCGACCCGGCCAAAGTGGAGGCCGTGATGATCTGGGAGGTTCCAAAGTCTCCATCTAAGATTTGGAGTTTCCTAGGATTAGCCGGCTACTATCGAAGATTCATCCAGGATTTCTCTAAGATAGTCGTACCCTTAACCCGACTGAAAAAGAAATTCGTTGTATTTCGCTGGGGATCGGAGCAGCAGGCCGCATTCGAGAAGCTGAGACAGAGATTGTGCGAGGCGCCAATCTTAGCCCTTTCATAGGGCGTGGACGATTTTGTTGTGTATTGCGATGCGTCCATTTCAGGTTTGGGCGTACTGCTGGTGTGGAGGGGGCATGTTATTGCCTATGCTTTGAGGCAAATAAAGCCTCACTAGGATAACTACCCTACGCACGATTTGGAGTTGGAGGCGGTTGTTTTCGCACTCAAAATTTGGTGATACTACCTCTACGGGGTTTGTTGTACCATTTACACGGACCACAAGAGCCTGAGGTATCTCATTTATCAGCCAAATCTAAATATGAGGCAACGTCGGTGGCTTGACATGGTAAAGGATTATGATTGTGAGATCCTCTACCACCCGGGGAAGGCCAATGTCGTGGCCGAGATGCTTATCCGTAAGGCAACGCCGATCAGGGATATCTGTATGAGGATGACGGTTGTGACTCCACTGTTAGAGCAGATTCGGGAGGCCAAGCAGGAGGCCATGAAGGAGGAACATCGCAAGAGTGAGCGTATTGTGGGTCAGGTTTCCTCCTTCGACTATGAGAGTCGTGGATTGTTGACTCTTAACCAGAGGGTGTGGGTCCGGTATCATGGTGGTGTGCGCCAGGTATTGATGGAAGAGGCACACAAATCCATGTTTTCTATCCATCTCGTGGTGACAAAGATGTATAGAGATCTTCGTCTAGATTACTGGTGGCCCTGCATGAAGCAGGATGTAGCATGGTATGTGGAGAGGTGCTTGACCTATAGGAAGGTCAATGCCGAGCACCAGAGGCCACAAGACAAGATGCGGCCGCTAGATATTCCCATGTGGAAATAGGAAGATGTTACAATGGACTTCATGACCAAACTTCCCAGGACCGCGCGGGGAGTGGATTCCATATGGGTCATCGTGGATCGATTGACCAAGAGTGCCCATTTCATACTGATCCAGGTGAACAAATCGGTCGAGAAGCTGGCCGACATCTACATTCGGAAGGTTGTGGCCCAACATCGAGTGCCAGTCTCAATGATTTCTGACAGAGATGTGCGGTTTACGTCCAGCTTCTGGAAGAAATTCCATGACGAGTTAGTTACTCGTCTACACTTTAGCACCACATCTCACACGCAGACGGATGGTCAGAGCGAGTGAACTATCTAAACTCTGGAGGATATGTTGCGAGCATGCATTCTAGACTTCGGTGGTAGTTCGGATACCTACATTCCATTAGCTAAGTTCTCCTACAACAACAACTATCATACGAGTATTGACCGTCCTCCCTTCAAGATGTTATACAGGATGAAGTGTAGGACCCGGATTTATTAGGGTGAGGTTGAACAGAGAGTCATGGGAAGTACCGAAGTGGTACTCAAGACGACAGAGAGGATGCAATAGGTTCGGAGCAGGCGTCAGACTGCTCAGAGTCGGTAGAAAAGTTATGCTGACAAGCATCGTTTAGACCTGGAATTCGAGGTTGGGGATATGGTCCTCCTGAAGGTGTCACCTTGGAAAGGTGTCACGCAGTTCAGGAAGCGGGGCAAGTTGGGCCCCAGGTACATCGGTCCTTTCAGGGTCACTGCTCGGGTAGGCAAGGTTGCATATATGTTGGATATGCAAGCTGAGCTTAGTCAGATTCATAGCACCTTTCACGTCTCTCAGCTGCGGAAATGCTTAGTAGACACCTCTGCAATGGTACCTCTCGAGGATATTCAGGTGGATGATAGCCTGAACTACATCGACTGATCGATAGCCATTTTAGATAGGAAGACGAAGGCGCTGAGGAACATGGAAGTAGTCCTAGTGAAGGTGCAGTGGCAACACTGCAAGGGTTCAGAATGGACGTGGGAGCCGGAAGACGAGATGAGGGAGCACTACCCCGAGTTATTTCCAGCAATAACAACAGACATTGAGGATGAAGTCTAATTCAAGTGGGGGTGATTGTAACTCCCGAGATATATAAGGTATAAATCATGTATTTATTCAAGGATGATAACTTAATAAGGTTTGGACTTAGGCCTTTGGGCCTTTATGTTTGGGCTGATGAGGTACGTACGCGAGGCGTACCTTCCCATGTACGCCCAACATACTCAAGGATCAAGGACATGGAAACCAAGCGAATACGCGCAACGTACCAAAGGGTTACGTGCAACGTAACCATGCAGGGTCCACAAAACCCTAACTCTTGGGGTTTTATCCCTATATAAAGGACATTATGGCATGGACCAGCCTCTATAACACCCTTAAGCAACCATCTCGGAAACCATATCCCACTTTTGTGTATCTTTACCAAATGAGAGCTTCTTTGTGTGATTTTGGTTGTTTTAGAAGAATAAGAGGTTGACGAAGGAGCAAGGATTCAAAGGGGAACTTGTAGATCCAGGTGACTAGCAACATTTCTGACTCATTTGAGGTATCAAGCTTCAAACTTGATCATTACCTGATTAGATTTGATTTTAGGATGTCTAAGGTTACCTTTAGACTCCATTGTTGCGGCTTCTTGCATCTTAATGATTTCAGACCATAATAGTTGTAATTTTGGACTCTTAGAGGCACTAAGAGTCATAAAAGTTGGATCTTGGTGGTTAAGCCACAACCATGCAAGTATTAGTGGGTATTTAAGCTTATTAAAGGACCCAAAACCATGTTTGACCCTCAACCATGCATGTAGACACATAAAGTTCATGATTTTATGGTGTAGAAGGTCTTAAAGGGCCTGGATCTACATTTTGGACGTAACGGCTTAATGGATTAACTCATGGATGAAGTCTCAAGGAAGCTGGCTAGTACGCTGGGCTTACTCCCTGGTACGCCACGCGTACTAGGTTACCTTCCCGTATATGGTCAAGGCTAGTGTATGCCGGGCGTACGTGCTTGGTACGTCGCGCGTACGCATGCTGAATGTATTCCTTTAGGCTTTTGAGCCTTAGAGGGTTGGGCCCGACTCTTTGGACTCATAGCCCACTCTAAAGCATAATTTGGACCTGGGAATCTGGAATTGGAAGCATTGGGCCCTTAGGGCCATATTGGGCCAATTGGGATTATTTTCTTTTGGACTAAATACTTATTAAAAATTGTGAGAAGTCCCATTTGAGAGGTTGGGCCCAATTAGGAAAGTTGGTCCATTGGTGGACCCTTAGGGAGTTTTGATGGACACTAGGTGAGTTGGATTTAATGTGTTATGGTGGGGTTTTATGGATGTTCTTAAATTGGACCTAGGGGTAAAATGGTCATTTTTCCCCATGTAATGTTATAAATTCTGATTTAGTGTTAATATGACCATGATAGCTGGGACCCATCGGAGCAGCTGTTAGAGACCACTTTCCGCGAGTTTAGACACGCACTACCACGAGGTGTGCTACCTTTCAGTAGTGGTGGGTCTACAACCACAATGCCGACCTACTAATAGGAGTTGTATGTTAGATGATTGTCTTTGTGATATTCATCTTGGTTGCTGTTACCTATTATATGCTAGTATGATATGATGTTATGCGGTAATGGTAGTAAGGGCACAATAGTCCCCAGTTATCGGTCGATAAGACCAAACGGGTAGATTAATGCCCAACTATGCTAGACAGATTATGATATAATTAATTTATGTGTTTATGTTATGATTTATGTGGTAGTGGTAGGGGTGAAATAGTCCCCGTAATCGGTTGAAATATAACAGACTGTAGGTGTGAGAACCCAAAATCTATTCCGTCAGTTTTAACCTTTTCCGTTAAAAAGCTTCGTTTTATTTAACTATCCA